AGAGGACTTCTGAAGAAATAGAACTACTGCTTTGGAGGATCCGGAAACACAGGGGCAAGAGAGAAGGATCCTCATTTCTTCCTTCCTACTGATTTCCAGTTTTCCACCATTGCCTCCCTTCAGCCAAACCTAACCAGAAACCAGAGACCTTTGTTTTTGAACGATATTTCCACTGATTATTGATATTTTTGGTTGACAGGGTTTTTTTTCTTTCAGTACCCTAAAGAACTGCATCCACTGTCTCTGGCTTGTATCTTTTCTGATGAAAAGTCTGTTGTTATCCTTATCTGTTTCCCTGTATATAATGTACTCTTTTAGGAGGCTACTTTTTAAGATTTTCTCTTTATGACTTTTTAAATTTTGAGTAGGAGATACATGTTCATGGCTCAAAATTCAAAAAGAATGATGAGTATACAATGAGATATCCCTGCCATTTACATCTACCTGCCCAGTTTCCATTTCTATAGCCATCCAACATAATTATTTTCCTTCCAGAGATATGTTATACATATATAAGAAAAAAATTTCATATTCCCTTTTTTGTTATTTTGGACAAATGCTAGTATATGCTACATACTGTTTTGTACCTTTTTTCACTTGGATAACTTTTCCCATCAGCATAGAAAGAGCTTCATCAGTCATTAAATTGGCTTCAGGGTATTTAACTCTTATGGATATATCAAAATTTAACCAGTCCCCTATTAATGAGTATTTAGTTTTTGTTCCAGTCTTTTGCTGTTATAAACAACTCTTTAATAAATTAGTGTGTATAAATGGCCTTTGGAATGCATACAAGGATATTTTTAGATCCTAGATGTATCCTAGGAGTAGATTTGCTAGATTAAAGAGTGAGATTTATTATTTTGGTAGATAATGACAAATTTCCCCTGTATAGATTGAACCAATTTACATTCTTGCCAGCATTGTAAGAGTACCTGTTTCCCACAACTTTGTCAACACTGTGTTTTTTTTTTTGAAACAAAACAAAACAAAAAACACCTTTATTTTATGACCATTTTCAAATACACACAAAAGTAGAAAGAATAATATAATGAACCACCTGTCACTCTGCTTCAACAATTATCAATATATTATCAATCTTGTTTTATCTATACCTCCCCACTTCTTATTATTATCTTTTTTATTCAGAGCTTTAGTAAAAAGTATAATTTCTATATAATTAAGTTTGCCTATTATAAGTATATAATTCAGTGAATTTTAGCAAATTTAATAGAATTGTGTATCCATCACTACAATACAGTTTTACATATTTTTATTACCCTACAAAGTTCCCTCATGTCTACTTGTGTTTCATTTTCCATAAACTACTTGTTTATGTCTCAATCCCATTTTCTATAAATAAGTTGGACTTTTCTCACTTTTTATAAGCTCTTTATTAGAGATATTAAGCTCTTCTTATGATATGAGTTAATGTATATTTTTTTCACTTTTGCTTTGCCTCTGGTGTTTATGTTTAATGCTTTTTTAAAACTATGTAGATTTTTAAAAATGTAATTATAATTTACCAATATTCCCTTATTGCTTCTAAATTTCTTATCATAGTTAAAAAGGTTTTTCTATAATCAGGTTATATTGGAATTTATTCTGATATTTGTATTGTATAATTTTTTATACTTACAAAGTTTTCTATCCATTTTGAATTTTTTCCATGTTTGGAAGTTAGAGTGAATCAATTTTGTCTTTTAATATTTGTTTATTCAATATGAAGAAGTCAATTTTTTCCTCACTGATTTAAGATGCTACTTTTGTCATACACTAAATTTTCACATGTAAATTGGTCTATTTTTAGATTTTCCATTTGTTTTCATTAGCCTATTTGTCTATTCATGTGCCTATACAATGTTGGCTTAATATTAGAGACTTTACAAATTGTAATATTGGTTAGTCCCTTTTCATTGTTCTTGTTCTTTCATCGTTTTCCTACATATTCAACTTTGTAAACAACTTGTTTAATTTCAGAAAAACCTGAACATACTTCTGTATGTAAATTTATAAATTAGTTAAGGGGAATATTAGCTCTTCACTTACTGAAGTTATACTTTTATGTATTCTTTACTTTCCTTCCAGTCCAATATTAGCTCTTCACTTACTGAAGTTATACTTTTATATATTCTTTACTTTCCCTCCAGTCCAATGACACTGGAACACCAATGTTGAACCCTCTTTTCTACTTTACATGTTGTTGATGTTATGTGTTTTTGCTCTATTTTTTAAAGCCTAGATGAGGTTATTATTGCTTCAAGTTGTCAAAGTGTTTAGTCTATATATTTACTAATTTGCATCTTAACCCTTTCTTGCCAATCTAATTTCTCTTTTGTTTTTTGTAAATAATTGATATTTTTCCCTGATTGTTTATACATTGCTCTTTATTTCGTATTTTATAGTTTACTGTGATTAGCTAGATGTAGATTTCTTTTTATTTATTCTTTTTATTGGGGTTTCCTGAACTTTCCTCAATCTGTGGATTTGTATCTTTCATCAGTTTTGAAAAATTCTTGCCTATTTATTGTTTTTGCCCCATTCAGATTTTTTTCTTTTTAGGCTGTGGTTAGACTTGCATACTCTACCTGTATGTCTTTTAACTCTTGTTTGTATTTTCCATTTCTCTGTCTTTCTGTATTGGACTCAGGATATTTTTGTAGATCTTTCAGTGTACCAATTTTTCTTCAGCTATACCAAATCTGTCATTAAATATGTCCATTGACTTTTAATTTCAGTGATTTAATCTTTTATTTCTAGAAGCCTTTTTTCTCTTTTTCTATTTAGCTCCAAGTTCAGATAGGCAGTTTTCCTTCCAGTCTAGAAATATGATGAGGTAAATGGGAAGACTATACTGGTGTAGTTGTTCAAACTTTTTAGTCAAGGCTAAGGCCAGCTGTTTTATCTAGCATTTTAATTGTTTTTAGAGGAATAATCATTAAAGGTACCTAGTCTGTCATATTATGGAAAATACAATATTCAGTAGTATCCCTTTATCCACAGATTCGCTTTCTTCATTTTGTTACCCATGGTCAGCTATGGTCTGAAAATATTAAATGAAAACTTCTAGAAATAAAAAATTCCTGAGTTTTCACTGTGGCCTGTTCTGAGTAATATGAGTGATGAAATTTTCCTCTGTCTTGCCCAAGATGTGAATTCATTGGTTTGTAAAGGTATATTCACCCTGTTAGCTACCCACCTGTTAGTCAGTTAGCAGCTATCTTGGTTATCAGATAAACTTCCATGGATTGTAGTGCTTGTATTCATTCAAATAACCCTTATTTTACTTAATAATGGCCCAGAGTACAAGAGTAGTGATGCTGGCAATTTGCATATGCCAAAGAGAGCCCTAAAATGCTTCCTTTAAATAAAAAGGTGAAAATTCTCTACTTAGGAAAGAAAAAAAAAATCTTATGCTGAGCTTGCTAAGATCTAGAGTAAGAACAGATTTTCTATCTGTGAAATTGTGAAGACAAAGAAATTCACACAGATTTTGCTGTTGCACCTCAGACTGCAAAAATTATGTCCACAGTTCATGATAAGTGCTTAGTTAAGATGTAAAAGGAATTACATTTGTCAGTAGAAGACATGAACAGAAACATGTTCCGATTGATGGAAATTGGGTTTCAGTACTATCTGTGGTTTCAGATATGTCTTGGAACATTTCCTGAGGATAAGCAGGGACTACTGTATATGTAAAAACAAAACTGTGAACCTTTTCCTTCCTCAGTAAAGACATGTTACTAAAGAAGTATTTTGAAAACAGCTGCATTAGAATGGTTGAGTATGTCAAAATAAATGTTCTTTTTTCATGTTAAGTAGCACTGAGTAGAAATTTCTGTAAGATACCAAAGATTTAGAGTTAGTATATATAGAAGAAATTCTTAAGAACTGAATGTCTTAAATAAAGTGTGGGCAATAAAATTTTATTCTACTATTTGATTCTCATAGAGTAGACCTAATTTTCTTTGACTTAAGTTAGTAAGTGGATTTCTTGTATTTGGATAGTTAAGTATCATATTTAGTGGAATTTTTCTATGATATGTAAACAACATTCTTGTATTTCAGTAGGAAAATTACTGATACGCTACAGAAATCCAAAAAAGAGTATTAATTCTGGTTATAACTATCAAACAGAATGTTTTGTCTTTCTGTGTATTTTAAGGACATCTGCTACCTTATTACCATTTGTAATGTAGTCATGAGGTGCATAACATTTAGTCAATGACAGACTACATATATGACAGTAGTCCCATAAGATTATAATACTGTATTTTCACTGTACCTTTTCTGTGTTTAGATATGTCTAGATACACAAATACTTATCATTGTGTTATAATTGCCTATAATATTCAGTACAATAACATGGTACAGGTTTGTAGCCTAGGAGCAATAAGCTGTACCATTTAAATTTGTGTAAGCACACTGTTCACACAACAGAATAGCCTAAGGATGCATTTCTCAAATGTATCCCTGTCATTAAGCAACACATGACTGTATATGGGAAAATATAGTCTGAATTCCTAGCATACAAATGACAGAATATAGTCTGTTTCGTAAATAGGGACTCCAGTAGTACTCTAGTTAGTTCAGCTTGCATAGCAAATAGGAATTTATTGATTATTGAAAGGCAAATAAGTGTGGTGATGCATGGTGTATTTTTTAATTCAAAAGGCCTACCATTTATATATAATGTATTTGCCACTCTACAAATTATATTTGTTTTTATATACAGTTGACCCTTGAACAATGAAGGGGTGAGGGACACCAATCCCTCCACCCAGTCAGATCTATTTTTAATGTTTGGCTCCCCGAAAATGTAACTTCAGACAGCCTGCTATTGACTGGAAGCCTTACCAATAACATAAATAATCGGTTAATGCATTTTGTAGGTTATATGTATAATATACTGAATTCCTATAATAAAGTAAGCTAGAGAAAAGAAAATGCTATGAAGATAATTATAAGGAAGAGAAAATATATTTACTATTCATTGAGTGGCAGTGGATCATCATAAAGGTCTTCATCCTTGTCATCTTCATATTGAGTAGGTTGAGGAGGAAGAAGAGAGGTTAGTTTCGTTGTGTCAGGGTTGGCAAGAGGTGTTAAGAAAATTGACATACAAGTGGATCTGTGGAGTTCAAACTCGTGTTCAAAGGTCAATTGTAAATCATTTTGTTTAGGTAATTTTATTTTGGGTAATTATTTCAATTTAGGTAAATGAACTGTAGGTAATCCATAATTTGGACTAAGATTATTTATAAATTAATATATAGACTATTAACATTAAATGTGATAAAACATATTAAACATTACATTAAACATTTATTATAGAAACATATTAAACATACTGAACATTAAAAACATATATTATGGCACAATTTTTGGAAAGAAACCTTTGAATGACTTTAATCAGATATTTTAAAAAAATCATAATTTAAGGAACATTTGTATTTCAACTAAATTGACACATGCATAGCAAAATAACAAATCTCTGAAGATCCTGTGTTTCTTTATAGATTGTTAAAGGAAATTTGGATGATGATGTTAATAATAGTAGTAGTAGTAGGCCAAGTGCGGTGGCTCACACCTATAATCCTAGCACTCTGGGAGGCCTAGGTGGGCGGATTGCTCAAGGTCAGGAGTTTGAAACCAGCCTTAGCAAGAGCAAGACCTTGTCTCTACTAAAAATAGAAAGAAATTAATCGGCTAACTAAATGTATATAGAAAAAATTAGCCGAGCATGGTGGTGAATGCCTGTAGTCCCAGCTACTTAGGAGGCGGAAGCAGAAGGACTGCTTGAGTCCAGGAGTTTGAGGTTGATGTGAGCTAGGCTGACACCATGGCACTCTAGCCAGAGCAACAGAGTGAGACTCTGTCTCAAAAAAAAAAAAAAATAGTAGTACTATATTATAATATTATGAGCAAATACCTATAGCACTAAGTGCCAGGGATTATTTCAAATGCTTTTGCAGGAGGCAGCTACTATTATTATCTGTTTCATAAATAAACTGAAGCATTGAGAAAATAAGTAATTTGACCAGGGTTGCCTACACATCACGCAGTGGCGCAGCTGAGATTGAAACCCAAATAGTGTGGCTGTAGTCCATGGGTCTATAAAGGGCCAGACTGTAGATATTTTAGGGTTTTAGCCCATAAGGCCTTTGTTGCCACTGCTCAACTCTGTGGCATGAAAGCAGCCATAGTCAATATGTAAATAAATGAATATGACTGTGTTCTAATAATACCATGTTTTGGATAGGGATCTTTAAATTTCATGTAATTTTTACCTGGCATGAAACATTATTCTTTTGTCCTTTTTTTATAAAAGTTTTAAATATGGCTAATCATTCTTATCTTGTGCATTACACAATAACTGGCCTTCCTTGGCAGTAGTTTGCCAGCCCTGCTCTAGGCTGTTACTTTTATTTTGGAGTTCTACTTTGTTCAATTTTGGACTTATTTGCTCTGTACTCTGTAGAGTTTTCTTCCATGATAGATAGACAAATTAGTCTCTAAACATTTAGTTGATCATTTATTACTAGTCAATAGGAAATACAACAGGTTTGAAACATGAAGTTTTTACTTCCATACGTAATCTAGTTTCCTCCCCTAGTGATTTCAGCCTTTTCTTACTGCATAAATACTGTTGACTTCTTTGAATCTTCCCCTAATAAGGAAGAGGTAGCCAGACCATGTATTTTGTCTTTATTTACTCTTATTTTGCATGTGTTTTTCTCATTTTAATATCATCATGGAGTTGGGCCTTGTTATTGAGGTAGCTGGTAGTGGAGCATGCATAGGTCTCTCTTTTGGGATGCTGGCTCTCTTTTAATGTTCACATAATGCAGACTTATGATTTTACATTCTCTTCCATATTTTGTTTTTCTTTACAGAGTCATGTTGATCTGCATACTCATGTTTAAATTTACTGCCATAGCATATTTTATTTCTACCAATAACTTTTGTATCTCTTTCAATACATTAATTGTTCTATCCATCAGTATTATCTACTAAACATTTTTATACAATCCCACTCTCTAGTGCAAATTTAACTTCCCCCTGCTTTGATATATTATAATACAGATATATACAAAGTCCAGTACTAGGATAGTACAGAAGAATAATCACCTGTATGTTTGTCTGGAGAGAAGGCACTTAGGCTCAGTTCCTCAGTGAAGTTGTATAAGTAGGTCTTAGGAAACAACATATTGAAAGATCTGAAAGAGTACAGGAGTTTTAGAAGTTTCCTTTGATCGGAGAGCCTGGAAATTATGGTTAAAGCTACATAAGTTTAGGTTTGGATCAGACATAGGTTCTTATGTCATGATAAGAAATTTGAATTTTCAGCATTAGATCAATGATTTCAAATACATAAATAGAACAGGAAGGGAATGTAAGTAATAAATTAATCAAGCAGCCAGCATATTGGAGAAGTAAGAGAGGTGGATGGAGACTGACAAATTGGAAGGGGAGAGTTTATGCCCTGTCTAAAGGCAGTAGCCGCTCAGCTTATTTTGCGATGGAGAAATACAAGTATTATGTTATAGGGGTTCCTGTTTTTCAAAAGCACAGAGAAATCTAGATTTTAATTAAAATATCTGCTTTACATGGTATAGTCCAAACAGCAGTTTGTTAAGTCTGTAAATATGGGTTCATTTCTGTGTTTTAGGAAGATAATAGTAGCATCTGTGTTGAACATGAATTTTGGGTAAGTGTAGAATAGCAAGAGTGGTGAGGGTCCAATAGCAGTTTAAAGATGAGATAGATGTGAATTAGTGCTTTGTTAAGAGGGATAGAAAAGATTCTAGAGGTACCTTTGATGGGGCATTTTTCATAATTATTGATAGTACAATAATTGCAAAGGATTAATAAAGAATAATTCTCCCTTTCATCCCGGACCCCTAGGTTCTTATTTACTCTGTACACAGGCAGTTGTTTTTACTAGCTTGTTGGCTATCCCTTTAGATAGTCTGACAATATATAAACTTTATATATTGGTGTGCATGTGTCCTCCACCCTCTTACCCCTTTAACACAAAAATAATGTAATGAATATATCTCTGTATCTTTGCTTAACAATATATCTTGAAATGTTCTCTTTATCTATATATACATGTAACTATATTCTCATTGATATTTGCATAGTACTTCATTGCATGTATTATAATTAATGTAGGATATTTCCAGTCCTTTGCTACTAGAAACTATTTGTGATGTATATCCTTGCATGTATGTCTTGAACTTACATGTGTATGTTTGGAGGACGAAATTTCTATACATCCTAGTGGAACTGCTAAGTCAGATGGTATGTGTGCATTTTAAATTTTGATAATTAATACTGCATTGCCTTTAAAAGAGGTTGTATCATTTACAGTCCCTCCAACAAGGTATAAGGGCCTATTTCTATATACCAAAGCTGTTACAGAATATACCAATTCTTTATATTTTTATAAATATGATAGAGGAAATGGTATTTCATCTATAGTTTTTGCTTAATTATGAGTAAGGTGGAACATCTCCTACTGAAAAAAGTTCATGTGCATTTCTTTTCTGTGAAAAAGTCTTATCTTCCAGCTTTTTCTATTGGGTTGTAGACCTTTTTTTCCCCCTAAATTACTTGTAGAAGCTTTTAAACTAAGGAAATCAGCAAAGATTCTTTCTCACTCACCATATCACTTTGGTACTTTTTTTTTGAGACAGAGTCTCACTCTGTCACCCGGGCTAGAGTGCCATGGTGTCAGCCTAGCTCACAGCAACCTCAAACTCCTGGGCTCAAGCGATCCTCTTGCCTCAGCCTTCCGTCTGAGTAGCTGGGACTACAGGCCTGTACGATTACACCGGGCTAATTTTTACTATTTTTAGTAAGAGATGGGGTCTCACTCTTACTTAGGCTGGTCTTGAACTCATAAGCTCAAGTGATCCTCCTGCCTCGGTCTCCCAGAGTGTTAGGATTATAGGCAAGAGCTACTGGGCCCGGCCACCACTTTGCTTTTGACTGGATTCAAATTTTTTGGTCTTTTGACATTTGAAAATTTAAAGTAGTGAAATTTATAAAAATGTCAGTTTATAGGGTATGTTGTGCTATACTGAAAAAAGTGTAATTGTGTAATTTCAGGTTTTTTATATAATTTTCAAAACTATATTCTCATAGTTATGTTTGTATTTTAAAATTTTAGTCTTTATTAGTGACTCATTTTGATTATAGACAAAAAACGTTTGTCTATGGACAGAAATACAACTTTAGGTATTCATAGTTGAGTTTCTGTTAGATGAATTAAAATCTATAATTTTGAAGGATTTGTCATAGGTATTACTTTAAGATTGCTAGATAATATTAAAGAATTTTATAATTTTCCATATTCGTGATTAGAAAATAGTTCCTATTCCTTATGAACTCACAAATTATTAAAAGCACATAAAGTATTTAGTAACAGTATTTTGAAAATAATTAGGAACCACATAATTTGAGCAGTCCTCTATATTCAAGGTGAACCTAAAGTTGGGGAACCACGTGTCATTTATTAGATATAATTGGTGGTATATGCTATAATATAAATGTTGATTGAGAGTTTCATAGTGATTCTCTAACTTTGTATTTTTGTGTCAATTGTACCCATTCCTGTATCCCTCTGAAAAAAATTAGACTTTGGATTTTCTCTGGGTTCCCACTATACTAGGGTAAAGCTGCACGCTGTCCTCATTTTAGATTATCCTTCCATGCATAGCCACCATTTTTGTGACCTTATATGCCCTTAAATTTTATTGCAGTGGGCTCAATGGTAGGCATGAATAATGTAATTGTTTCATTTTATAATTTTAGAACTATGGTATATTTCTTTGTATTTTTCTTGAAGACATTCCTTTTAAAATCTTAACTGAAAACATAATATGAATTCTAAATGATTAGTACAGTTATTTGATTTTAGATAGCTGTTATTGCTTGATAATCTTTTAAATTGGAGCAAAACTCAAAGAAGCAATGAAAGTTATCATTCACTTATTCTTTCTAGGAGTTTCTTTGAGTTGCTGCTGTTCTTTGGAAGAGATGAGTTTTATGAAGAGCCGTTAAAAGATATTCTTGGATCATTCCAGGTAAAACAGTTTAATACTTCACATTTTGTCTACATATAAAACAGGCTTTTATTCTCCCCCTAAATATAGTTTATTGGTTATTTATTACTTATAAATTTTTATGGTTGCTAAGGTAACAATGTTTAAGTTCTTCTTATACTGACAGATAAAGCAAGCTCTTAAAATTAATTTTCATCTGTATCCCTGAGCAGTTCATAGCTAGGACTCCAATTCCATGCTTGTTAGACTAGAGCCTGTTTCTACCCTTATAGATTTGTAATACATCCTGGGTGTATATACAATTTTTAATGCTATAATATAGAATTTAACCCTGGTGAAAAAGTATTCTTTCCTAGACTAGAAGCAGGCTATCTGTCCCATGTCACTTTTCCCCTTGGCTATGCCCTGATTTTCTGATTTCTTATTTCATAATAGCTTTCTCAAGGTAGGAGGTGGAAGATCTTTTTTTTTTTTTTTTTTTTTTTACTTGATATAGGAGAGAAGAGAGTAAATCCAAACAGGAATGCAGGAATGACAAGATTCAAGAGCTCTTCTGTAGGTGAAGGAACATTTGATCTTTTTACCATTTACTTGGGAAGTAGCACCTAGTACCCCGACTCACTTATATCCTTGGCATTATCTCAACACTTCTCTGGGTAGAAGTAAAGTAAGACATATTTGGAGCTCCACCTTAGGGGTAAAGTATCCCTGACCACCACATTTAAAACTGAAATATCCAGACAACATATCTTACGTTTATTGTGTTAAAAGAAAGGTTCATGGTCAACCAGCATTGCTGTATTACGTATATTACATTGAACATTCTTTTTTTATCCATTATTTTCTTCAGTAAAAGAGATAAAAATTTTTGTTCTTATGACGCTTATGTTCTAATTAGGAGGGTATATATTCAAGTATTTAAAACTTAATTGTCCATTCCATTTTTTCTTTGACACTTGTGTTCTTGGCAATCCATTCTTGAACTTTTGCTCAGCAAATATTTATTTAGTCCTCGTGATGTGCTAAGCACTAAACTCTGGGAAAACCAGTAGTAAACAAGACATAAAAACTTTGCTATAATGGTGTTTAATTCTAGTGTAGGAACAGAAAAACAATAAATCCCTTTATAAATGAAGAATATTTTAGAAAGTGACAAATGCCTTAGAGAAAAATAAAACAGGCCAGGAATAGAGAATGCTGACATGTATTGGGAAGGATATTTCAGTTTTAAATGGGGTGGTCAAGGAATACCTCATGGAAATGTCAGCTGAGCACTGATAACGGGAACCAATGACATGTCTGGAGTAGAGGAAAGACAATATTTAATTCCTATTTTAAATGTGAGAAAACATAATGTTTGTGAAGGGATATATCCTTTATTTTTTTTCTTACAAGCAGGGTATCCATTTAGTTACCAAAATAATCAGTTCCTCAACAGAAAGTTCATGGTTTTGCATCCTTTTCTATCTCCTGTGCTACTTGCCTTTGAGTATGTCTAATCCTGGCTGAATTCTAAAGCCCATCCCCTAACCTCCCCTCCTTTTAGAAAAACTCTCTGCCATTTCTGCCACTTTTGTTCCTGTGGCTTCTTCCTACTCTGAATTTCCTTGAGCCTCTAACTCCTGACTCCTAGGAGGGGTTTTATCTTTCACTCCCATGTTATCTTCTTTACCTGGATAATCTAAGGCCTGTGCCCTTAGAGATCCAGGAAGGACCAACATGTAGTCCACCATGTACACCTCCCTAAAATATTGTATTTTCTAAGCTTGTGAATTCCCCAGGCTTTTGACTGGCCTTTGATAATCCAAAGACAACCCCAATGTCACCTTTTGAAATACTTTAATAGGGTTTATTTAGTAGAATATATTAGACCTATCTCTCCAAGTAGTTCATCTCTATCCATCTTGCATACACATTCACACCAGCATATAGTGTTCTCTCTCTTCTTCCATAAATAGGACAGACACAATGCTGCTCATATTTTAACATACATAAAGACTACTTGGGGATCTTAGATCTTGTTAAAATTCAGATTATGATTCAGCAGTTGTGGGGTGGGGCCCGATAGTCTGCATTTCTAACATGTTCTGAGGTGATACTGATGATGCTAGTCCTTGAACTATACTTTGAGTAGCAGCAAGGAACTAATATTCTTTGCTGGATTTAAGTTAACTTCCTTCTCTTTCTTCTCCTCACATTTCAACTATGAATTTCTCAGCTTTGCCACTCACCCTATGTCATTTTGGGCAAGTTACATACTTTCTGTATCAGTTTTTTTATTTGTAAACTGAAGACAATATTTGGATTTGCTGCAGAGAGTCATTTTTTAGGTTCAGTCAGTAAAGTACCTGGCATTATTCCTGGCAAAATGATCATGTCACTATTTTTAAAGGAGGCAGTATAACCTGTCTGGTGAAGGGTGGGGTTCTGAAGTCCTACTAGCTGGACTTATATGCCTATTCTGTTCTTTCATGAATTTCTGATCACCTAAAAATCTGATTTGTTCAGGTAGGAATTTTTAACTGTTCTTACCCATGGACTATAATTTTTCTTCTGCATTATTTCAGGAGGAAACTTCATTCTTAGAGCCAAATGTTCCATTTACTGGCTTCTAAAAGTTTTCTTCCTTAGCCTTTGACTTCCAATAATTTTTCTTTACCTCAACATAATAAGATGGCACATTTCTCATGCGATATGCCTGCCACCTCCTCCTCTTCATCATCTTTATGATTATTGTACAAATTTTCTATATTCCCAAATGACAAAAATAATGTAAAATGAGGAAAAATTTATTATGAATGTTGGAAACTAAGATGAGGGCCTTATGCCAAGCACTCAAGGAAGAAACCATATTGAGGGATGGGCCAAACAATACTTGATTGACTGAATATTATACAGTAGGAAATATATGTGTGTGATAGAGATATATATAAAAAAAGATAAAAGAGATACCTTCCAGTAGTATCCAATAATGCACACACCCCCCCCAACCCTGCCAATTTGTAACAACAGGGGCTGGAGGAAGTAGCAGGTGGTGGGGATTTGGTATGTGGTCAATCTCATTCTTGTTGTTGGTACTCAGATGTGCACCAGGCATGCAACAGAGCCTAAAGAACAGGAATCCTGAGTGATTGTTATAACCACATTAAAAATGGGATGTATTGCTTTGCTCAGCATTCTTTCCATTGAGAGAATTGGAAGTATGATCCAAACTAAATGTAGCCTTCTCCAATACCCAGAGGTAAGAAAGTTTTGCAAGAGAGGTATAGTTGTCTTCTACTCAAACTTCCTTTTACTCCCTCACAGGCCATTGGTTTAACAAATTCAACTACAGTGCACATAAACTTTCCCCTTCTCTCTTTGGGCACGAAAGATTTGACAGGGATCTATTCACCTACTGGTAAAACTAGTCTCTGTTGTAAATATTCTAGGTATAGATGACCAGAAGATAAATACCAGTTATCATCAGTTATATGGAAAGATAAGACAGTTAAACAAACAAAAGAAAGTATCTATTCTTGCTGAGGTTGAGTTCAAGGTATTGTCCATAAAATTAAGTGAAATTGTAAAGAATGAACAACCCCAAAGAACATATGGAGGTGAAATACTGTAGGGAGATAGAACTGTTAAATTAAAAGTACAATGAAGGCAATTAATAGTGGATTAACTCTAACAAAAAAAAAAACAAATCAGTGAAGAAATTGTCTTTAAAGATTAATTTAATTTTCAACTCATACTTATAGGCATATCTTATTATACTTTTCAATTTTGGGGATAAAGGAAAAGTTCCTACAAATGTAAGACCCATGTAAAACAAACAGTATTCCCACAAAGGAAAAAATAAAATTAGGTCAGCAATGAATTCCTCCATAGTAATAAATGCGAGAATAAATAAATAATGTCCGTGGAGTTTTTCAAAGGGAAAAATATGATTTCATAATACAGCTGCCAAGCCCTATAGTTTATGAGAGAGGACAACAGAAATAAATAGTCCAAAACTTGGAAAGCAAACCCAACTATATGTCTTTTATTAGGAAAACAAGTATACCAGCTGATCAAAACACAAAATTTACATATTGGGTCATTACAGAATAAAAAATAGTACTGACCCAGGGAACAAGTAAAAATCAGCAAGCCATTGGTATTATGGCTATTATGAAGATTCTATTAACATCAAATGATTCTGGAAAAGGAAAATACAAGTTCCACAATAATTTGGAACTAAAATCTTAGATTAAGGTATTGATTGAATAGAGGTAAGGAAGATAGGGAAGAATCAGATATATTCTTGGCTATTTAAGCTGAAACAACTACATAGATTGGGTGTTCTTTACTAAGTAGGCAGTGTATTATAGGGGGAAGAGCAAGATATAGAAAGATGGTGAGTCCATTCTAGACACACTGAGTTTTAAATGTCATTGGAATATGCAAGTACCATTGTCCAATAGATGGTCAGATTCATGGGTCTATATGTGTATTTTCTTTTTTAATCAAGAACATTTATTTGCTTTAACAAATCAAGAGAAAAATAGATCTTTTAAAGGTTTTTCTTTTAATTGAAAAATAAAAGCAACATGGGGTAGTGACTGAAATGCTGACCAAGCCAGTAAAAGTCTTACTACTAGAGCGCCGCAAATGTTTTAATGAGCCTGCCCTGACCTTAGAGAAAACTCTTATCCTAATCCCTTGGAGTCAATGTAAAAGTCATAGAGATCTTTTTTGTTCAGACTAGGAGTAGGCCTTAGTTAATCTTTCTCTCCCTAAGACTCAACCTGTTTTTTATCTGCTGGTCCCTTAGGTGGGTTGGAGAAGGGAATAGGAGGAGGTAAGGGATGTCACCGCCCAGGCAGGAGGCACAAGGGTGTCCAACTCCAATAGCATCATAAGAGAAGAACAAAAAATAATTAAAGGTAAAAGAGGCCAGGCGTGGTGGCTCACGCCTGTAATTCTAGCACTCTGGGAGGCCGAGGCAGGCTGATTGCTCGAGGTCAGGAGTTCGAAACCAGCCTGAGCAAGAGCGA